CATTTTTTTTTTTATATATATATACATACTTATATTTTTATTTATATACCCCCCCCCTTTCTTATTCCTACACATACACCCACACACACACCTATATATAGACATATACATACATATACTGCATTACACATACATATATATATATATATATATATATATATATATATATATATATATATATATATATATATATATATATATATATATATATATATATATACATATATATATATATATAAAAAAAAAAAAAAAAAAAAAAAAAAATTCAACCGGGTACCCGATCGGGTAACCCGGTAGGATTTCTAATACCCGGACCCGACCCGGTTTGGGAGCACCGGGTACCCGAACCCGGAAAAAACCCGGTTTCATAAAAAATTACCCGATCCGGTCGGGTAATACCCGACCGGGTCGGGTTATACCCGAATAACCCGACCCGAATGCCCACCCCTATTAATCGTCATCGATTTAAACTTACGCACACTATCCAAACTCGTGTAAAACAGTCATGCTAACAATTTAACCAACCGAAGGACAATTCATATTGCTTCGAATAATATATAACCATTTCATCGACTTTCTCTTTTTAGGTTATAAAAATTGCAATTCATAGTCACCTGAAATCCCCAAAATAAATTGCAATCATCAAGGACAACAGTATAATTCAAGGCGCATGTGGGGCTCAGAAACCTAAAATATATATAAGAGGCTTGAATAAAATTTAAAACTTCACATCATCAGCTATTTATCTATAACAATAAAAGTTCAAATTTTTCCTAGCTAGCCACAGAAAATAATTCCATCACATTAAATCACTAACAGTAATTTTGGGGAACGAATTAATAATTCAATTGACAAAAGTCCTGAAAATAGTGAGACAATGGTACCTGAATCTTTCAACCGCATTAGGCTGCTGTAAGCCCTCGTACCCCCAAAATGACAGTCGGGCTTCGAGATATTATCGGCCCGGCATTGCAAGAATTGCAGAGAAATATACTGCTGGGGCGCGGCATGGGAAATAGTTGTCCGAGGTATAATTGAAGCTAATCGTCTTCTCAACATTTAATGTATGTATCATGTATGTGTTAAATTCGAAGCGCCATGGAAATGGTCGAGGGTTCAATTTTCTAACCCCAAGTGTAGCCCCGCAATTGAGTCGGGCCTAAAGGTTAGCCCTAACTTAGCAAAAATCAAGACCCAAAGATGGATCGATTCCACCCAGTGACTGTCAGGGCCGGTCCTGCACGTGTGTTATACCTTTTTCTAATAAATAGAAAATATTATGGGGAAATTGGCTAGACACCCCTAATTATGGACTTATATAGGTGGAGGTCCATTCTATTAGATGAATATAGCTATAAGTCCTTAGCCCAATAAAATTAATGTAAATTAAATTAAATTATTAGTGTATAGACAAAAAACACCCTCCTCAATTAACAATTAATTTTATATGAAAGTGGTTAACAAATCCCACTTATTACTCTTCCTCTCTCAATCCACTCTCACGTGCCCCCCTCTCTCTCTCTCTCTCTCCTACTCATTCTCTCTCTCCCCCTCCCCAAATATACGCCCCCTCTTTCTCTCTCCCTCTCTCTATCTCTATTCTCTTTCTCCTCTCTCTGTATCTCTTTCAATTTAATTTTTTTAAGTTAACTTTTATTTTTGTTTCTATTTTTTAATTGAATTTCATTCCATAAATACCAAAAAGAAATTGAATTGCAAAATAAATTAGCAACATGAATAGAAAACTGCAAACTGCAATTTGTAATATTACATTTTTTTTAGTGTTATTGTTTGTATATAGATTATGCATATCATATTGTTCAGTTTGTTGTTTGTAATTAAATATATGTAGTTTGTTGTTTACAATTAAATATAAACGATGCATAATCCATATCCTACACGTAATTTGACATTGATTATGTGAACGTCCGATGCATTTAATATTGCTTTTCCTTTCTTCGATCTTATTGAACAATGACTTGATCATTTTTTTTTGCAGTGGATGTTGAATGTGAAACAAAAAGAGATAATGATTGTACGATACAAAACAACAAATGTAATAGTTGCTAATATTAACAGTCGTTAATTACAAATTGCAAATACAAACAGTGAAGGCAAATTGTACACGAAAAATGATAAAGAATGAAGTACAAACTGTAAATTGTAAACTCGCAAAGTTATTTAAAACGACAAAATATGTTTGTAAATTCGATGTCATGTTCTTGGTTTTTCTTCATCAATTGATCCAGGGTTGCATTCAGATGTTTAACTTGTAGTCGCTTCACGGATTGAAAGTGCCTTGCTACGATGCCATCCCTCGGTTTATGACTGCTTTTTTTAAACGTTATATTCATGCCGGTGGCGCCGCTTTTTACCCCAAAAATCAATTGGCACTCAATAGGGCTTAAGTGAAGCTCTTTTCCACCAATTATAAATCGACGTTTATTTTTGTCGTACGTCACGAGAATTTTATATATTTCTTGTACAGACTTACGGACTTCCTGCGTTGGGATCTCTCTCCTCATAAACGGCGGTATAAATTCTGCAAACGCGGTCCTTTGAACACATTCAATGTGACGTCCATTGAAATTATATTTTTTGAAGAAGCGGACAACAGAAACGAGTGTTGCACGATATTTCGGATTTGGAACTGCTGGTTCTATTTCCTGCTCAACTGGTGCCCTCAAGCTAGGTGCTATTGATTTTGTTTTCACTTTTTTTGACGATGTTGAACCGGCATTTAAAGGCGTGTTCCGTTTCTTTCCCGCGACTGGTTAATTTAAAAAGAATGATTATACGATATTGAACAACAAATGTACGCTTTGAATTCCAAGATGCAAACTCATAACAAAAAACAACAACAATACTAAGTACGAAATCATAACAACAAAACTACTAAGTGCAAACTCATAATAAACAAACATTGATTGAAACTACCACTAACGAAACTCCTCAAATATGCTATGTGCAACTTTAAAATGCAGCCCATAGTTGGTTATTGTAATTTCAATTTACATTTTTTTTTTGTTTTTTTTTTAGTTTATACAAACAAAAGCATGTCTTATTTTCAAAATAGGCTGCCATATGCAATATTAACCCAACTACGTCCGAATCAAAATTTTCAGGAAATGAGTTTTTTGCAAATGAAAAACGAATAAATGGGTTCTTCAAAGTACCAAAAAATATAAAATCAAAAAAATTATTATTTGAACAAAACCGGTAAAATGTGGAACTCCAAAACGAACATATTGAAATTCAACTTGCAAACTCATAACAGAGAAATGCAAATAGCAAAGTCAGAACACATAATTAGGTTCTTCAAATGTATTGTTTTAGAATAAACATAACCAAAGTCGTAACATACACAAACCCCTCAATTTACCTGATTTCGGGGATTGGAAATCATCATCATCCTTTGCTGTTAAGGGGAAAAAAAACGGGTTCTCAAATTATTATTGAAATATTTGAAATAAATAGCAAACAAACAAAAAACAAAAGCAAAAAAGGAACAAAATACAAAATTTGAGATGAAAGAAAAAAAATCAAAAGCGAAAACCCAACATGCAAATAAAATTTTACACAAAGGATCATTGATTACCTAGACTTAATCGTGTTTTGGCCATCGTATGAACTCCAAACAACAGACCCTAAACACCAGCCGTTGATTCCGAGCAACAAACAATTTGTCAACTGCAAACAGAACGAAGTCAAATTGGGCAACAACAAATCGAACGAAGGCAAACGGAATAAAGGCAAAATGCTCAGACCTGGTAATTTGTAAACAGCAAACGAAACAAATGCAAATAGTGAACAACACATTTGTAAACAGCAAACGAAACAAATGCAAATATTGAACAGCAAATCGAACAAAGACAAAATGCAAACGACCTGGTAAAACTGCAAACGATCAAACACCCAAAACCTATGGAAGGATTCAAAATTCGTGGTGAGATTTTCGCTTTGAAGCAACAAGGAAGAAATCGATTTCCATATTTTTGCAATTGGAATTTTCGAAACAACAAACCCTGTAAACAGCAAACGAAACAAATGCAAATAGTGAACAACAAATTTGTAAACAACAAACGAAACAAATGAAAAAATTGAACAGCAAATCGAAAACGAAGACAAAATGCAAACAACCTGGTAAAACTGCAAACGACCAAACACCCAAAACCTTTGGAAGGTTTCAAAATTCGTGGTGAGATTTTCGATTTGAAGAAACAGGGGAGAAATCGAATTCCAGATTTTTGCAATTGGAATTTTCGAAACAACAAACCCTGTAAACAGCAAACGAAACAAATGCAAATAGTGAACAACAAATTTGTAGACAACAAACGAAACAAATGCAAAAATTGAACAGCAAATCGAAAACGAAGACAAAATGCAAACGACCTGGTAAAACTGCAAACGACCAAACACCCAAAACCTTTGGAAGGATTCAAAATTCGTGGTGAGATTTTCGATTTGAAGAAACAGGGGAGAAATCGAATTCCAGATTTTTGCAATTATAAATTTCGGATTTACAGTATAATAGGGAGATAAATGGGGGATTTGATTTTGAAGATATATTTTACCGTATATTACTAGGGATATTGATAGGGGTACTTTTGACAAATTATAAATACAAAAATTTGATGGAAATTAGAGTTTATTAGATGGATTTTAACACATATAATCTCTTATAGGAGGACCTATAGCAAATTGCCCCAAATATTATAGACAAAATAAAATAAAATAAAATAAACAAAAACATGTATTTATATTAAAAACTATTAACTATATATTTCATCGAAAGAAAAACAATTCATTTTATATTTACAAAATAATATAATAAATGAAAAGTATCTTTTAGTTGCTTATAAAAAAGGCGAATGGCAAAAAGGCCTATCACATGGAACTTAAATATTTTTTGTCTACAAAAAAAAATAGTCTCTCAATTAAACTCATCCCATGTCATAAGCCTAAAATACCCTCCATAATATAATTCTTATCAATTCCATCCATTATGCTCTAATTTCCTTAGTATTATACATTGATCTCGGATTTAAACAAATATATCACATTAACCCCCAAAATATCTTTTTTTTCTGAATTTTTTTTTTCTAGCTAGATTTCGGCGTTGACTTTGTTCTTTTTTTTGAAAACTTTTTTTTCCTGAATTTTTTTTCCGGCCGGTCAACCACCGTTGACCGCCGGTCTCCCGCGTTGACTTTTTCTTTTTTTTGAATTTTTTTTCTTAGAAAAAAATATTTTAATTAATATTACTGTCTTCGCTACTAAATTAGACAGTAATATTACTGTCTGGGACAATAATATTACGAATATTATTTTCCTGAACAGTAATATTATTAATATTATTGTCTAAGACAGTTAAATTATTGTTGGAGACAGTAATTTAGCAGCCAATGCAGTAATATTAATTAAAATAATTTTTTTTAAGAAAAAAAAAACTCAATTAACAGTTAAATTACTGTCTCCGACAGTTAAATAGCTGCTGGAGACAGTAATTTAGCAACAAATACAGTAATCTTAATTAAAAATATTTTTTTAAGAATAAAAAAGTCAATTAACAGTTAAATTTTGTCAGTTAAATAACTGGTGGAGACAGTAATTTAGCAACAAATACAGTAATATTAATTAAAAATATTTTTTTTAAGAATCAAAAAGTCAGTTAAATTACTGTCTCCGACTGTTAAATAACTGCTCGAGACAGTAATTTAGCAACGAATACAGTTATATTAATTAAAATATTTTTGAAGAAAAAAAAAAGTCAATTAACAGTTAAATTACTGTCTCCGGCAGTTAAATAACTGTCGTAGACACTAATTTAGCTGCCAAGACAGTAATATTAATTAAAATATTTTTTTTAAGAAAAAACAAAATTATATAAAAAAAAAAAAAAAATCAACGTCGGAGACCCAGCGGTCAACGGCGGTTGACCGGCCGAAAAAAAAATTCACGGAAAAAAGTTTTTCAAAAAAAAAAAGTTAACGCCGGAGACCGGCGGTCTCCGGTGGTGGTGGGTCAAAATTGAAATCATGGTTAAAATTGATTAATTGATGAAATTTGGCTAAATTGGAGTTGAATTAGGTTTCAATGAATATATAAAAAGGATTTTCTTTAAAAAGGATTTTCTTTCACCGGGTAATTTTGGTATATATAAAAAGGATTTTCTTTATTTGCAAATAAGTTTGAATGAACTGGATTTAT